ACCATGGAATACTCTGCAGACGTAACAAGGAATAAGATCATGTCCTTTGCAGGAACACAGATGGAGCTTCAAGCCATTATCCTCAGCAAACTAATGCAGGAAAAGAAAACCAAACACCAAATATTCTCACTTATAAGTGGGAGCTGCACAATGAGAGCACATGGACACAGGGAAGGGAACAACACACACAGGGTCCTGCCGGCGGGATTTGGGGAGGGAGACAATCAGGAGAGATAACTAATAAAAGTGGTGAATGACTATGAACAAAAGAGCAGGTGAAGCATGGTAGGATAGTCAGCAATACTGGAGTGAGGGAGAAACTGGGCTGTAATATAAAGGGGAGACTAGTGAGATTGCTCTTCGCAATGTAATATAAAATGGATATAATGTTGATGAATCTTGGCACTAATACTGAATGACAAAAGTGTATTCCCAATGATGTGTCTCAATTTTGCCCTGTGGCAGTGAAAAGCCCCTATCAAATCCTGCAGCTGCTCTTTTCTCCACATGTAAGGAATGTGGAGGCCTTGTTTTTAGATGGAAGTGATGCAAAATTAAAGTAGCTTGGATTACTGAGTCATTACCTGGACATTAGGAGGCTACCAACTGTAAAACATATTATTATTATTATGTTTACACTAAGAAAAGGAAATGTTTTAGAATCACTGACATATACTAAATGTTCAAGAAAGTGAAAAAAATGTAAATGTGAACACTTTCAATTGGTTTTAAGATATTCCTTTCCATGTCGTTTGTTAAAGAGATGGCTGGTAGCTACACATTTGAAATTATATCAATATATTTGCATGTGTGACTCCATCTTTCTTCCACCTGTGAAATAATTATCTATATAAGTTCTTATATCTGAAAAATATTTTGAGATACTTTTTTTTAGATTTCAGAGATAATCTTGAATTCAGTTCTTCAGAAGGCAAATAAGCATTGAACTATGCATTTAGTAATGTAGATCCATTCTTTCTGAGGTAGGAGGGAATACTAAACAAACTCTGGAGTGGAAACTTGGACACTAGACCAATCTGAGGACTAGCTAAAACAGTTTCTCCCCATAAGACATGCCCACCCGTGTGCCATGTCAGTTTACCATTGCCATGGCAACCCTCAGAAGTTACTGCCCCTTTCCATGGCAACGACCCTACATCCTGGAAGTTATCAACCTCATCCTAGAAATTTCTGCATAAACCACCACTTAATTTGCATAGAACTAAAAGTGGGTATAAATATGAGTGCAGAACTGCCTCTGACCTGCTCCTCCGAGGACACTGTCAAGCAGTACCTCTGCTGTGGATGTATACTGTTTGTTTAGTAAGAGTTGCTGCCACCATCAGCTAGCCCTTGAATTCTTTCTTGGCAAAACAAATAACCCTTCCAGCCTAAGCCTCAATTTTGGAGCTTGCCTGTCCTGCATCCTTTCCATGAAGTTCATTCCGTATAAGTGTAATTTCAAATAATATACAAGTCAGTGAAAATGTTTTTATGGTTTATTAATTTTCTGAGTTTTCAAAAGGAAATTTTTCTATAAGAAAAGCAAACCCATTTTCCAGTTTTTATTAAGTAGGTTAAAATATAGTACTATAAGTTAAAATCAAGACTTTCGGCCGGGCGCGGTGGCTCAAGCCTGGAATCCCAGCACTTTGGGTCAAGAGATCGAGATCACGAGGTCAAGAGATCGAGACCATTCTGGTCAACATGGTGAAACCCCATCTCTACTAAAAAACAAAAAAAAATAGCTGGGCATGGTGGTACGTGCCTGTAATCCCAGCTACTCAGGAGGCTGAGGCAGGAGAATTGCCTGAACCCAGGAGGCGAAGGTTGCAGTGAGTAGAGATCGCGCCATTGCACTCCAGCCTGGGTAAAAAGAGCGAAACTCCGTCTCAAAAAAAAAAAAAAAAAAAAAAAAAACCAGAAAACAAACAAACAAAAACAAACAAACAAACAAAAAAAGACTTTCAAGCGTAGACTTTGGGGATTACAGGACTTTCTTAATTAAACTTACATGAGAAATCATTGTTTTAAACAAAATTCATTCTAGTTGCCTCCCTGATATTGTTCTGGGGTGATTGAAAGGAAATAGCAATATGTATGTTTGATTTATTAAGTGATCCAAGCTACTCAGAGAGTTAGGTTGGATAATTATTTTGTCTTACAATTTAGAGCAAAGGACTGCTGAATAAGACTAAGTAATTTGATATTGTATTTATCATGTTAAAATAGTCAATATGCATCATTCACTTTTGACAGAATCAATTTTGTTGATATTTGAGCTTCATATTTCTAAAACAAAGTTTTACAAATGATTCAAATATATATATTTTTTCAAATTTCAATCAATATGCATATTCATATAGGACAAAGGAGTTAGCACATACAATTATTAGATTCTAGTTTACATTTCAACTTGCCAGAATTTTAAGTCAATAATGTATGTCTTTACACGGTGAATAAATAAGCATATAACATACATCTGGATGTTTTAATTTTACATTAAGCTATTTTCTTTTTTTTCAGTGTCCCTAAGATATAGTTATTTATTTGATAAATTATATTTGCTCTTCATAAATTCTTCCAATATACATTTGGGCCTATGGAGGGATTTCAAATTATACATGTTCCAAGTTTTATAATAGAACATGAGGTAAAATATAAATAATTGAAGTGTGAATAGCATGAGACTCTTCTACTCCAAAAGTTACAATATATGTGTTCTATCTGTATATCATTTGTATAAGAAATAGCTGGCAGCTACACACTTGGAATTATGTCCTACTTGGGAGCATTAATGAGAAATATTTAGGAGTTAATTATTCTGAAAAACACTTGAAAGACTACTTTGCAGTAGTTAAAAGCATGTAGAATAAGATGTCTAGTGCTCATTTAATAGATTAATAAACTGCTTATAGAACAATTAGCTAGGACAAGCTCATCTCACAAAAATGTGTTCATAATAAGAAATGCAGTGGTAGAGACTCACTATTTGCTGTTCCACCGTTATTTTGAAATAGTAGATACAGTTTTAAAATGTATTCCTATGTATATGTAGAACATATTTTCTCCTGGATGTTTAACTAGACACCAAGGTGTAAAGTTCCAGCAATTTGAGTGCATGCTTCAAACATCTGGAGCTATACATATGGGTAGTATACAGCTGTGTTTATTTCAATGATTACACATTTACATGCATATAATACATTTATTTAAATGTGTAATATCTTATATAAGTGAGAATATTCAAACAAATACATTTGCACTTTAAATATGTAATGAAAATGGACTCAAGTACGTTCACCATTTTTATTTAAATCTTACAGCATTTATTTACATAATACTTACTAATGTACAATCATAACTCTTTCCTTTTAGTCTAAAACCATTTTTGTTGTTGTTGTTTTTGAGACAGAGTCCTGCTCAGTCGCCCGGCTGGAGTGCAGTAGTGCAATCACAGCTCACTGCAATCTCCACCTCCTGGCTCAAGCCATTATCCTGCTTCAGCCTCCCGAGTAGCTGGGATTATAGGCATCTGCCACCATGTCTGGCTAAATTTTGTATTTTTAGTCGACAAGCAGTTTCACCATGTTGACCAGGGTGGTCTTGGACTCCTGATCTCAGGCATCTGCCTGCCTCTGTCTCCCAAAAGTGCTAGGATTACAGGCGCACACCACCATGCTTGGCCAAACCAAACATTTTTAGAAGATTAAAGGAAATCAAGAAAGTTTTATCGAGAGTTATTCACATTTAGCAAGCTTTCAGAAGAATTTAGAAGTTCACCAGATCAAGAGGGTAAAATTATTTGTAATTGGAATGGATTTCTTTTATTCCAACAATTGCATCACAGTATCATGAACATTTTAATTGAATCTCAAGGCAGTTTTCCAGAGGTACTTTTCTTTTTCTTTTTTTTTTTTTTTCTCATTACTACAACCGCATCAGACAAGATAAACACTTCTGGGTTTTGGTTTAATATGTAAAGGAAAAAAATTTTAAAGCCACACACATAATAATCTAGTTAAGAGTATTAATATAATCTCATTTAACTCTACCTTTATTTCTGGGAGAGGAACTGGAGACCAGAAAATGATTTAGGAGGACAGAATATAAAATTACATTTTGGATTCAATTCCTGGCCATAATATCCTGTGAGATTTCAGAGAGCCTTCTGGTTAGTCTATTTATACTTGTCTCCTTTTTTTTTTTTTTTGTATGCTACTTTCTTTCTCAAGGGCTTTTTTCAAAAAGATATGATTGGCTGGCCTAGAGGAAGGTAACTTTTATGTGAGCAAGAGAAAAATTACATTGGAGGTTGCACAACATTTTGAAGGAATTTTAGATTTAGTTTACCACAGTATTAAAAATAATGGCTGCAGGCACTTATATTTGTTGAATGCTTGAACAAACCTAGCCTTTCCCACCCTGTGTTTCATTGTTCATAGGCTGTGGATAATACTCTCAGTGGGTTTTGTAAGGATAACATGAGTATAATGAATAAAGCATTCAATATTCGAAAGCTTTTCAAATAATATCGTTCAGTAACGCCCATTTTGTAGATGTGAAAATTGTGTACCTAAACATGGGCTCCTAAATTTTAATTGTCGGTAGTGTTTTAGCAATCTTTCCTAAAGAAAGATTGATTAATCTCTAATATTAATATAAACTTTTTTTTCTTTTTTGCCGTTTGAATGGGCAATGAATTCATTTTGTACACACACAACGTACACTTCCACTTATGGATGCTCCTGGGAGTGTGAATTGGGGAGTGTGTGTGAGATGGGAAGAGTTCAATAACCAAAATAACATATTTTTCCGTTTTATATTTACGAAACAAGTCACAGTCTTTATTTTTAATTTCTGCAGTTACATTGTGAGACAAGTATTAGAACTCAACGGTCGCATCAAAAGGAGGGAAAGGCCGCAGGGCGGGCGCCTTTGCGTCCTGGACCCGCGTAGAGGCGGGAGAAAGACCGACCAATCCGAGAGCCGGTTGAGGCCTGGTCCCGCCCCTGCGGGCAGAGCCCCGCCTCTTTCCGCCTCACCCTTTGGGAGTAGGAGTGTGCGGCTGGCTCGTCCCGCCCCTACCCCTGAGTGACAGGACCGTGGACAGCAACATTTCCAGCCGGCCACGAAGTTTGTCGGCCCTTGCCTTGGCAGAGCTGAGGTGTGTGTCCGGCGAGTGCGAGGGGATTTGGGGAGACCTTGCCTAGGATGCTCGGGGCCCGGGACTGAAAATGGGCGCACCTCTTTAGCGAGCCTTAAAGCTTTTAGGAGACGATCGTTCCGTCCCTGCGAGCGGCACTAGGGCGGGCTGGGCGGAGGGAGGCCCTGCAAGAGAAACCCGGAGTCCGAGAAACCCAGTAGGTACGATGATCACTGAAGGACTCGTTCCCGTAGATCAGGGCGTTGGATGCGGGGTGGGGGATGGAGGGTGCCGGGTTCGGTGGGCGTGGCCGTTGAGGTTGCTAAGGAACGCGCGGTTCCCGCCCTGCCAGCATGTCTGGCGCTTGCCGCTGGGCCCCGGATACGTTAGTCCCGCCCACTACCCAAGGTCTTCCGTGCGGCTCGGGATTGGCTCCTTTGTGCTGTCAGATAACTTGCGGCAGCTTAATTCTCTCTGCAGCTATCCCGGTTCTGCAGTTCCCTTTTGGGCCCCCTTTTTCCGTGGTACTCCTGTTTACTCTTTCTCCTGCTTCCTCTTATTAATGAACGCGTATTTGAATGCCAAAACTTTGCGGAGAGACGATTCATTCAGGACTAGGTGGCTTTATTGGTGGTGGTGAGGAGAGGGGGGTTACTTTTCTAGAGCTTGGTGAATTCTGAATCCATCAGATGTTGGTGTCCACGTGGATGACTAGGAAAAGGGGATTGGAGATCAGGTTTCTTCTACTTGGAGTTCTCTGCTGCTTGTTAGAGCTTAATAAGCCTCCCGAAGAAGTCGAAGCAAGTTATTTCTAGAGAAGCCCCAAGACATAATCTCCCTTTAATTCTCTATTGTGGAGAAGTGTCTTTGCTTCATTCGGCCCATACTTAATGATCAACGAGTATGGGATGAGTTGGTAACCTCAGATAACCACTTCAAATCTTCTTTTGTTTGCTCATGTACTCTTGCCCCTAATGATTCAGCACAACAAACATTCCACAGAGAAAACACAAAAGAGCTAAAAAACCTTTGCCAGGTTTACAGTGTAAACCCGGAGGAAGGAAGCTTGTACTACTTGTTAACATCGGAAAGAGCATTGGCCTACAAGTCAGGAAACTGGCAGGGTTAAGAAGTGTTTGTCCTTGGGCAGTAACTCTCGCAATTGTTTTCTTATCTGTAAAATGGGGACTGTAAGATATGCCCTTCCTTCCTAAAAAAAGGAGGAATAATTGATTGTGAAAGTATCATTAGAGCAATGATTTACACAAATGTCAGGTGTTATTGATTACACTTTTAATCTTTTTGTCTATATGATCCTAATATTGCCATTCAGCTTAAAGTATTTTCAAATTTCCCTTTTGATTTTTTTTTTTAATCTTTGCGTCATTTAGAAATGGGGAAGAAATTCACTCATCTATTCATTATTGATTCTGTATTGGTTCTGGTTAGATAGCACCTGTAATATCTTGAATGACACTTTTTCCCTTTTAATATCACTAACTATATATATATACCTGAAAAGATTGAGGTGGAGTCTCGCTCCGTTGGCTAGGCTAGAGTGCAATGGCACAGTCTCAGCTTACTGCACCCTCCGCCTCCTGGGCTCAAGTGATTCTCCTACCTCAGCCTTCCAGGTATCTGGGATTACAGACACACGCCACCGGGCCCAGCTAATTTTTGTATTTTTAGTAGAGACGGGGTTTCACCATGTTGACCAGGCTGATCTTGAAGTCCTAACCTCAGGTGATCCTCCTGCCTCGGCCTACCGAGGTATTGGTATTACAGGCGTGTGCTACAACGCCTGGCCGGAAACATTACCTTTTAATGCAAGGATGACTAACCTTTTTGGTGTCATTTACCACTTTGAGAAACCAAGAAAAGTTATTGACTCACTCTTTAGAAAAACACGCAATTTGAAGCCTAAATGGGCCCTGGATTAAGAACATCTGTTTTTGTTCAACCTCTTTAGGAATAAGGAAATTATTCTCTGCCACTGCCTCATCCTACAGAGAGACTAAGTAACTTTTACCCAAGGCTACATATCTGGGAGAAGAGTGGGGCTTTTGTCTTTCTTCTACAGTGCCTCTTACCATAGCATAACTTAGTTCAGGGTCTTCAGTCATCCCCCTATCATTTTTATTTTTTTTAAGTGCTAATAAACGGGAACTAACAATGTTCAGCCAATTGTTGCTATCTTACAAAACCATGTAATCTATGTTTTATCTCAAATGCCCTTTGATCATAACCTCTTAAAGCATATTGTGGTATTTAAACACGTTAAAAGAGTATTGTCAAATATTTTGAGAAAAATGTGAAATTGTATTTTTGAGATGAGCATTAGATACATAAACTTTCTCATCTATCCACGTCCATTTTGGTCAAAGAAAAGCTTATTACTTTTAATACATGCTTGATACTTAGAAATCTTGATACTTAGAAATCTTTTATTACTTGATACTTAGAAATTACTTGATACTTAGAAATCTTTTATTTTTTTTTTACTTAAGTGAATAATCTTTTATAACGTTTTAATTCGTGGATAAAAAATATTGTGGTTGTTTTCACTGTGGCTCTTTTCCTGATTTATACATTCATACAGAAATCTGTAAATGGAGTTCATTATTTTCTTTGGTCCAATTCTATATCTAGCTTTACCAATAAAAGTGGGCATCAGTAGTAGATATAAAAAAGTTGTTATTGGATAAGGATAAACTTAAAGATGTAAAGATCTATTGCTTTTGTAATATGCGTGAATGTGTATAGGAGTACATGTTATTTCTTTAGTACTTGTAATTTTATTTAAACTGTTTGATACTTGACTACTCCTTTCTTAACTCAGTTCATTTCATGGTAGAAAAAGAGCGATAAAGACAAGTGGCTTAGAGAGAGCATTACAATGGATTTAGAGATTTTTAGGGGCTCAATAATAGCTCTTTCCATCTGCTCTTGAGTTTGTAAACAGACTTGTGGAGTTTGCCATATCAGCTTCAAGTTGCAATAACAAGTCAATAGGGGATAGTGCTTTATCCAAAAATCAGACCAAAAAATGAGTACCACTACTTCCTACCTCCTTTTACTCCTACTCTCTTTCCTAGAACCTAGACTTTAGTTCAGCTGAGGTAAACATTTCAGATTGCAGGACTGATATGCTTACCCACAATTACTGCTTTTCATGGTCTAGGGCAGAGAAGGTCGTAAAAAGGGGCAAATCTTCAGTGCTTACTGGTGTATATGGGTTAGCTCTATGGGTGGAGTAATGTGAACCAATCACTGATCAGATTAGTCTCTTTTTGGTAAACTGTGAAAAAGAAGTGGGATCTGAGGCCAGGACTATAAATCTAGGGCTCTGGTTTTCCATTCTGGGTAACACCTCTGGAATATTTGAAATATGTTGGGGCGTTTTAAATTATTCTAATGTCTTTAGAGGAAGTACTACTGACTTTGGGCACCCTGAAGTTTAGAGATGATAAATATTGTGTAACGTAGAGGGCTATCAGCTCAATGAAGAATTACCTTGTCTTACTCCAATGCCAAAGCATCTCCATTGAGAGCCCCTGCTCCAATGGAAGTTCCTCTATGTAGAAACGTGAAACTAGGCCAGATTTCCCCTTAATCTTTGTTCACATGTATCTGCATTTTTTATATCAGTAGATTTTACTCTAACTGTGAATGTCTTAAACAATATTACTTAGAATTTTGTGTTTTTCTGATATTTGTCCAGAGTGACTAAAATAATACTAATGGAAAATAGTGATACATATTTGATCATATTTGATATTCTCAAATTTCCTATTAAACAGATAAGGATCGTGTAGGCCTAGAGCGAATTTTTTTATACCTATTACATATATTTATACCCTTTTTTATGTTCAGTACCTTTCCAACAATAGAGTGACATAGGTATAGGTTTTCATGAAAAAGAAATGATTCCTACTTACCTCATAATTCTGAAATGTTAAACAACAGTAAAAAGGTAAACATTCCATACTCAGTGGTTTAAGTTTTATTGACTTAGAAGGCAAAGACAATTTCATTAATGAAAGGCTCTTGTCAGTTGCATGACTTTTAAGCCACCAAAATTGAGAATGGACATCAGCATAAAGGAGCTTTGTTCTTCTATAGTGGTATTATTTATTGACATACTTGCAGAAATACCAGCCTAATTATATGGAACAATTTAAAATTTTGGCAATGACAAAAGAAAGATAGGTTAATCTGAATAACATTTGTTTTACATACTTTGAATCTTAAAATATTCAAATATTGCAGGGTATAGAATAATGAACTATGTGGATACCTGTGGCAATGTCCTAACTGTGGATTACAGTTTCTTACCTACAGCAGGTGGAAGGTGCACTGCATTGAAAGTTTTAGACTTAACTCTGGAAGTAGAAATATCCTTTGTTATGTAAAAAACAAATCTTCAACCTTTTCCACATACATAGTTAACTTGACTTCCCGTTAACTTAACTCCAGTCAAGTTAACTATGCATGTGGAAAAGGTTGAAGATTTTTTTCTTTTAACAATATGTATGAGCATTATAATACATTGCCATCATTCACAGTGACTCAATATATAATACTGAATCTCTCTGGGAAGAGGTATATCAGATTTTGTTTCAAGAAGGGAAGGTACAGTTTTAAAACGAACCTCCCAGTTTTCAATTCTGCTTTGTCTGTGTTCCTAGGGAGTTAATTCTCTGTCTCTTCTCTCCTCAACACCATCCTCTTTATACATATATGGAAAACATTGGCTTATGTAGAAAATATCTATACAGTTTTTTCAGTGTCAAAATATTCTGGATAAATTTGCATTTGAAAATGAATCAAGTGAAACAAGACATCATACAAAATCGAGGCAGAGGATATCAGCGGAAGACTAAGATGTATAGCTATGAAACTCTCAAAACAATCTTAAGCTAAGGAAGAACATTTCAGAGTTATTTGCTATCCAACACATTCAAGACTACATGGCTTCTATGGATAGGAGAACAGACAATGATGAAGTGACAGAAAGAAGA